GTTTTCATTGTACTTATTTCGATTCTTGTGTTCTAGATATTTTTGATTGTATTTGAGTATCTTAGATATTTCCTGTTTGTCATCTTGGGTCAGTCTCCGTTTCTCTAGCTCCCTTTTTGCCTCTGTTCACACCTGCTCCCAATCTGCTAATTAGCCTGATCGTTGTTTCTTTCCCATTTATTCTCCTTTGTCATCATTACTTTGTCCCCTTCTTGTTGTGTATTCTCGGTTTTGAGCATTTTTGTTTTTTTGTTGATTTGTATTTTTTTATTTTTGCTTTTGTTAAACTTTTTTCATTAAAATATTCAAGTAACCACCTCAAACTTTTCTCTGCATTTGGGTCCTGTCAAACCTCCAACCTGACTGTGACAGTTTAATTTCAAACATTTCCACTTAAGTAAACTACTTACAATAGACTGGGCAATCTAAACCTATTTTCTAATATAGTCTAGGTTAAGGACTTTTGATGCAAATCAGGTCCTAAGTCATTCTATATCAAGGTATGCTATATCAAGTCTGAATCTATATTCAGCAGAACATTCCAGTGTGTATCAGCAGCAGACATCAAACATATCTTACACTTCAATGCCTGTCAGTTGAAAGGTATCTATCCTGCACAGCCTAAGGATGTTTTTGCTTATTATTTTCTGCCTAAGCTCAATATTGTTGCATTCAATATGGGGTAATAGAGGTTCTATGGTCTACAGTTCATTGAAACTCTAAAGAAATGTGTAGATACTGAGAGACATTTAATCTGTTTTATACACTTTATCATTTGACTCACTGATAATTAAAGAGTAGTTTCAAACTATTTGTATTCTGAACTCTATAGCTTGTCACAGCAAATTGAGAATAATATTGTCTGAAGTTATAGTTATAATTGTATTTTAATTGCATTTGTTTTTTCAGTGTCATAGAAATAACAATATCTTCCCTAGTAGCCCCTTGTAGCATAAATGTCAGTGTATCAAACCTATAACTCCTATGGACCTTTGTGTGTGTCACATGTTTTTCACTATATGTGTGTATAAACTTGTGTGTTAATTGGGGTGCGTCTGGATCTCTGTGTGAATGTATCTATGTGTGTGAACGTGTATGTGGTCAGGACCCACTCCAGTCCTGGAAAAGAAGGTCACTTCTTGAGCACTGGTCCTCTCAAACAGGTGAAATGAGTTTAATGTCAGTTTTAGGATAAGTTCATTGTTCGAGCAATCCGCCAATTCATCTGTTACCACAAGCAGCTTGAATCATAAGAGTTTTTGGGTCACCACAACTCATTGATTGATAAGTCTTCCTGTGTAGCATCGGTGTCATAACCCAGAGGCAGAATGGAGCAGAGTCCTGAAAAATTGGATTTTCCCTTCAAGTAGTTTGTCATCATTAAGTGTTCTTCCTTCAGAGCACAGGACTGTAGTACGAGTTCTCTGTTCACAAAGTTTAGGAGTCCGCATTTCTGTAAATCTTAGAATCGATTCCATCTCATCTGTTGCAAAGCATCGAGGTAAAGCAATTGAAAATATACTTCATAATAGGTGGTTCAATAAAAAAAAAAAAGAATTAACAACTGCTTTAACATCCCCAAAACAAATCAAAAGTTTGCTGTTAGGAGCCCTCGCCAATCCAGCAAGTGCTCAGCCATCCCCACCAGTTTCAAAATGTTCATTGAACCTGATTATACCCAAGTTGTTTTATCTTATGAGTTCATATATTCGGTCTTTAGTTCCATTGAATGATTGGAATTGATTACAGCTGCGGATGTAATAAACTGAGGCGTGCATCTTGTGTGCCTAGCCATACCCAGGATTCCTAATAATTATAGTTTTTGTGATATTTGTTTTTCATCCACTTGAAGCTGTTGTTTAAGATTTGTGACATTTTAGATTCCATGCCCCCTATATTGAGATGTTATAGACATAACTAATCCATTAACTTTTAGGTTATCATTAAAGTTTTTAGTTCATGGGCAAAGTATGATTTATCAAAGTTGTCCACCTCAGAGGATGACACTATTACTTCAGAACACCTCTCCAAAAGTCGTTTTCATTGTTTCTAAACTGTAGTTTATTATTACCAATTAAGACAGCTGTGATACCCTCTCTGCACATATTTCCTTAGCAATAATGCATTTTCAAGTTATTCAGTCATACTTATAATTATTGATATAAGCACAAATTAAAGAGGAAGAACCTCACCTTCTATCTTACACCTTTTTATATCTTGATCATTAGCATTAGGGAACAGAAAAATGGCAGAGAAAGTCAGTCAGGGTGTTACTCCCCCAAAGCCCCTAATCAGCCTCCGGCCCTTCTAACACAGCACCACAGCCAGGTAACAGACATATATGAAGTGAGGAGAGAAAACAAAAATAAACCCTAGAATATAAAAGACCATCTATGGCAAGTCTAACTGGTTAAAAATGCTAGGAGAGTGAAAATGTAAATAATGGTATTTTAGAAAAAATAAAGTAGTCAGAAATTTCATACCATATTTTCATTATTTATGCTTTTATTGTTTTGATAGAGGAGAATTATCTTAAAAGTATTGTGAATATGTTTTTAGGGTGTGACTTTTCCATTTACAGGACTTAATGTCTGATTGACAATGTAAATTATTTGTGCTATTTCAAAATGTGAATGACCAATTATGTCACTAAAAACCAGAATATTATAGAAGATAGTAACAGGGATAACATAAATTTCTTTCATGTTTGTTTTAACATAATTCATCTACTTCAATTTTAAATCTCTTCTGTAAAATGTGTTACCAAGATATGAATGCTTGGTTTGAGACTAATGTCTCAGCATGATCTGGAAAAACTAATCCATGCGTTTATTTTTAGTCGAATTGATTACTGCAACAGTGTTTTCACAGATCTGCCTAAAAAGTGCATCAGACAGCTGCAGCTGTCTCACTAAGACTAAGAAAGTAGAGCACATCACCCCAGTTCTAAAGTTGTTATACTGGCTCCCTGTATCTCAGAGAATAGACTTTAAAATACTTCTGTTAGTCTATAAATCTCTGAATGGCTTAGCACCTAAATACATCACAGACTTGCTATCAGTGTATCAACCCTCCAGACCACTCAGGTCTTCTGGCTCCAGCCTGCTTTGCATACCTAAAACCAGAACTAAACATGGAGAAGTAGCATTTAGTTCCTATGTTCCACTTATCTGGAACAAACTTCCAGAAAACTATAAAAGTGCAGAAAGCCTGAGTTCCTTTAAATCAGACTAAAAACACATTTGTTTTGGATTGCCTTCGACTGTTCTAGTTAAACAGTTCAACGGAAATATCATTAGTTCAACTTTTTTATTCTTTATTCCAACTGTTTTTAATATTCTTTTTTTGTTTCTGCATTTTTTATTTAATTTTTTTTCCTACTTGCTTTGATTCTGTTTTATTTTCCTATATTTTAATCATGTAAAGCACTTTGCATTGTCTTTGTACTGAATTGTGCTATATAAATAAATTTGCCTTGCCTTGGTTTGGTATTTAAAATTGGCTTTCTTTAACTGTTAGAGAAATTGTCCCCTCAGTGAATTGAAAGTGAATATTATGAAGGTCTCTGTGATAATTTTTCTCTACAAGGTTCTTATTCATGATATTTAACAGAATAAATTATACTAATTGATTAAACCATACATTTATTATCAAGTATGTTTTTTTTTTATATTTATATTTTATTTTGGAAGGTTAGGAAAATGTGATGAACTTAAACAGAGAGATCTTGATCACCTAAATTTAAGGTTTGAGTTATTACTTTGCATATTTTATAGTATTGTTATGTCAGTACATCTAAAATTATGCTTAATTTAAGTTAGATGAATATTATAAAAATTACCATTAACATTCAAAAAATATTTGCTTACTTAAAAGACCACATGCAGCAATAGTTTGGGGCAATACACTTCACTGCAAGTCAGATGAGCTTAAATGTTTATCAAGGATGCATGGGGTGGGGTCAAAGAACGCTCTGGAGAATTGAAACCTACTACGCCCTTGTACCCTCAGCTTGAATGCCCAAGAACAGGAGCACAGGGCTGTGTCCAAACGTCCACCCTAACCCCTATATAAAGCAATAAATAGAGGTTACACCATTTTATGAGTGTCCAAATGTCAAGTGGATGAAAAAGTGGTGGACTCAAAATTTCCCACAATGCACCTTTAACAGCAGTGTGCATCCATGGTCACTAGACAAGCAGATATATCCCAGAAATCTTTGCAAGAGCTCTCCTTGCAAAGCAACGTGGGGTTTGTTTTAGGAATGAGAAAGAACAAAATGGCACAAGCACTGCGCAGAGAGCCGGAGTCGCGTGACAAACAGGGAGCGAAAAATAGTGATCATCTGTCCATCCGGTCAGTTAACTGAGTTCACTATAAAGTCTACTATATTGTAACTACTCTATGTAGTGATTGATGGGTTAGGGATGACGTTCAAAGCCCACTTATTGGGATTTGCCCTGACTCTGCCAACTTAGTGTCCATCTGTCAAAGTCACCATTTTAGTTATTATTTCTTGCAAAACTTGAAGTGGCCAGTCCAGAAATTGCGTAAAACAGGCAGACAATTGCACAACCTTGAAAAAGGTGTGTTTTTCAGGTCCTTTTATGAAAACCCAGAATCAATCTTTACTCAATATTTCCTTCGGCTGATTTTTGTTTCCATGAGGGACATTCTGGAAATGTTCAAATCAAAAAATTCTACCATCTTTTCTCTCATCTCTTAGGAAATAGACTCCTCTGAACTCAATATTCCTAGTCTGTAGTAACACTTAGTCCTCATTCAGTTGAACGATTGGATCTCAAGATTCTTTTTAGACATTACAGGAAGTCTTTCTAACAAGCATCAAGCAACCAGCATCTGATTAATCTAGCCGGTTTTGAATATGTTCAGTGGTCCCAGGTATCATGTTAAATTAATAGAACAGAAGGGCAAAAGATGTAAAGAAAACTCAGCTGTAAAAACTAAATAAAAAGACTTGATCAATTGCATCCTTCAGGAATACAGTTTTATTCAACTGCTACACAAATAGAGATACAACCTTCCATTAAAAACAAAACATCATTATTTGAATTCCTGCAGATATTAAATGACCTTCAGCATTGTTTTGTATAGCATTATTGCTTCTCTCTTTCACTAACACATCAGCCAGTAGAGACTTCATAATTTAGTGATAGATAAAGTATGAACACACATCGCAACTAAGACTACAGGAAGATAATGTTAAAAGAAAAAAAATTAGATAAAAGATCATTTTTTTTAAGATTTCAAAATTCACATGAAAGAAAATGCACAGATGAAACAGTAAAGGTAGCCAGACCTTGAAACCGGAATGCTTTACGCTTTCTTAAATTGCAACTTTCGAAGAAGATTTCTGTCACATTAAAACACATTTTGCATTTCATCTATGTCAGAGAACAACTCTAACAGTTTTGTGAAAAAAACTTGTTTATTTATTGACTTTATTGATCTCATAGTGGAGAAATGTACTGGTTACATCAGCTCAAATAGTCAAAGCAGAAGAAATATTGAGTACTACTAAATCAAAGCATTTGACATTCCCATATCAGTATAACAGTCACATATGGTTGCAAATTTGTTAACTGGCATTGAAAAAGAGACTTAAATAGCACTTTATAGTTTCTGCTAAACTAAAATCTGTGCATAATAAATGTTGAGTTTAAATTACTGAATTTAGAAAGCGATGGGCATCATTTGGGAAGTTCCACCTGTTTTAGGCCTAGTGGGAGTCAGTTATTTACATAGGAGGAAAAGCCAGCATGCACATGGTGACAAGCAGAGCTGTAAGAGAGAAGAGAAAGAAAGATAAGGCAATTTTAAATATTAATAAACTTGATTTTTTTTTTATTTGTTTTTAAATCAAGAAACTGCAGATCAGGTGAACATTTAATAAAAATCTTGGGAACTTGGAAACAAATTGTTTTTGAGGGGTGTGACGCTTGTGCCCATTGTGCTTGCATGATCCCAGTCAAATGGAAAAACTTATGGCTCCCTATAAAATACAATTTATTTAGAAGAAAGAAAATGTTATTACTCTTAAAAAAGAGATCTAAAAAAAGTAAGATTTAATCATAGATAAAGATTTAAAAACAAAAAAACAAAACAATGTTTCACTAAATATATATTTAATCAAAAAACTTATCAAACTCTGAAAAATTTGACACCATATCTCCCAATTAGATAGTCTCATTCCCTTTTGGATCTTTTAGAAGATAAAAGAATAAAGTTTTAGTTGAGAAAAAAAAAAACTTTATTTGTAAAAAAAAAAAAGAGATGTAAACTGTTGCTTGAATCTCTCTCAGTAACTCATGAAATAGTTTTTCTTGAATTGTAGAATTCTAATTATTCCAATGCCTGCCGACCAGAATCTTTTCATGTTTCTCCTGGTATTTATCTTTGATGCTGAGCTCCAAGTGTTTAGGGTTCAAAAGCTGTTTTTCGCATCACTCTAATCTTTAACCTTCTCCCTGTTTATCTATCAGACTTAAATCAACTCTCATGCCAGATCAAAATACTACAAATTATTACAGCTTTGTTGCAGAACAGGCCTAAATTTTTTTGAAAGCACTTTTACTAAATATTTCAAGATTTTAATATTATTAGATAAAACTATTAAAATTTAATATTAGTAAGGCACCTTTAACTGGTATTCAATGACTTTTTGTTATTGTTTATCTGCATGTGCAGTCAAAAGGTTGAATCTAAACTTCCCACATCTTTGGTGCTATAACCGTACCTGGCAAGAATGGCTGTGTGGCTGTGACTGGATAAGCAGAAGAAGCGGTGGTGTAGTCGGACTGCTGATTGGGGATTAAAAAATAATCAAATAAAAGTCACAGTTTTTAAATTTCATTCATTCTCTCCTACTTTTGAAAGATTATTATTTTTGTTATTGTTATTACTTACTGCATTTGCAGGGACAGTGGTCACTGGTGCCATAGTTTTTCCATTATCAGCTGGTGCCACAGTGGTACTACGGTTAGCTGGTGCCCCATTATTTCCATTATTAGCTGGTGCCACAGTGGTACTACGGGTAGCTGTTGCCCCAGTATTTCCATTATTTGCTGGTGCCACAGTGGTACTATGGTTAGCTGTTGCCCCAGTATTTCCATTATCAGTTGGTGCCACAGTGGTACTATGGTTAGCTGGTGCCTCAGTATTTCCATTATCAGCTGGTGCCACAGTGGTACTATGGTTAGCTGGTGCCTCAGTATTTCCATTATTAGCTGGTGCCACAGTGGTACTATGGTTAGCTGGTGCCTCAGTATTTCCATTATCAGCTGGTGTCACAGTGGTACTATGGTTAGCTGGTGCCTCAGTATTTCCATTATCAGCTGGTGCCACAGTGGTACTATGGTTAGCTGGTGCCTCAGTATCTCCATTATCAGTTGGTGCCACAGTGGTACTATGGTTAGCTGGTGCCTCAGTATCTCCATTATCAGCTGGTGTCACAGTGGTACTATGGTTAGCTGGTGCCTCAGTATCTCCATTATCAGCTGGTGCCACAGTGGTACTATGGTTAGCTGGTGCCTCAGTATTTCCATTATCAGCTGGTGCCACAGTGGTACTATGGTTAGCTGGTGCCTCAGTATTTCCATTATCAGCTGGTGTCACAGTGGTACTATGGTTAGCTGGTGCCTCAGTATCTCCATTATCAGCTGGTGTCACAGTGGTACTATGGTTAGCTGGTGCCTCAGTATCTCCATTATCAGCTGGTGTCACAGTGGTACTATGGTTAGCTGGTGCCTCAGTATCTCCATTATCAGCTGGTGTCACAGTGGTACTATGGTTAGCTGGTGCCTCAGTATCTCCATTATCAGCTGGTGTCACAGTGGTACTATGGTTAGCTGGTGCCTCAGTATCTCCATTATCAGCTGGTGTCACAGTGGTACTATTGTTAGCTGGTGCCTCAGTATCTCCATTATCAGCTGGTGCCACAGTGGTACTATGGTTAGCTGGTGCCTCAGTATCTCCATTATCAGCTGGTGTCACAGTGGTACTATGGTTAGCTGGTGCCTCAGTATCTCCATTATCAGCTGGTGTCACAGTGGTACTATGGTTAGCTGGTGCCTCAGTATCTCCATTATCAGCTGGTGTCACAGTGGTACTATTGTTAGCTGGTGCCTTAGTAATTCCATTATTAGTTGGTGCTGCAGCGGTTTCAACAGTATTTGCTGCGGTGGTCTCTGCAGTATTAGTTGTTGTATTGATTTTGCTATTTTTTGTTATCAGTACATTTTGACCAGTGGTTGCTTCAGGAACAGTTCCACTAGCAGTTGCTGTGGTGGTTCTATCACTTTCTGCTCCAGCTTTGGTCTGACCAGTGGTTGCTTCAGCAGTGGTTCCGATAGCAGTTGCTGTTGTGGTGGTTCCATCACTTTCTGCTCCAGCTTTGGTCTGACCAGTGTTTGCTTCAGCAGTGGTTCTGATAGCAGTTGCTGTTGTGGTGGTTCCATCACTTTCTGCTCCAGCTTTGGTCTGACCAGTGGTTGCTTCAGCAGTGGTTCTGATAGCAGTTGCTGTGATGGTGGTTCCATCACTTTCTGCTCCAGCTTTAGTCTGACCAGTGTTTGCTTCAGTAGTGGTTCCGATAGCAGTTGCTGTTGTGGTGGTTCCATCACTTTGTGCTCCAGCTTTGGTCTGACCAGTGGTTGCTTCAGTAGTGGTTCCGATAGCAGTTGCTGTTGTGGTGGTTCCATCACTTTGTGCTCCAGCTTTGGTCTGACCAGTGTTTGCTTCAGTAGTGGTTCCGATAGCAGTTGCTGTTGTGGTGGTTCCATCACTTTGTGCTCCAGCTTTGGTCTGACCAGTGTTTGCTTCAGCAGTGGTTCCAATAGCAGTTGCTGTTGTGGTGGTTCCATCACTTTGTGCTCCAGCTTTGGTCTGACCAGTGGTTGCTTCAGTAGTGGTTCCGATAGCAGTTGCTGTTGTGGTGGTTTCATCACTTTGTGCTCCAGCTTTGGTCTGACCAGTGGTTGCTTCAGCAGTGGTTCTGATAGCAGTTGCTGTGGTGGTGGTTCCATCACTTTGTGCTCCAGCTTTGGTCTGACCAGTGGTTGCTTCAGTAGTGGTTCCGATAGCAGTTGCTGTTGTGGTGGTTCCATCACTTTGTGCTCCAGCTTTGGTCTGACCAGTGGTTGCTTCAGCAGTGGTTCCACTTGCAGTTGCTGTGGTGGTGGTGGTTCCATCACTTTGTGCTCCATCTGTGGTCTGACCAGTGGTTGCTTCAGCAGTGGTTCCACTAGCTGATGCTGTCACTGTGGTTCCAGTAGCAGTTGTTAATGCACTAGTGCTTTGGGCATCGGTGGCAATAAAATCCCAGGTTGCCATCACCAACAGAACACTGAGAATCAATCTCTTATCCATGCCTAAAGGAAAGGCTAAGATTATTTAAAGTTATATTTAGGGAGATTTTGCTTCATTGTTAGATGCTTTCCAAGGAGATTTCCAAAATGATATTCACATTTGTCTGAATTTACTGTATTTTGTAAATGAGTTATGATTTTTATTATAAAAATAAAAAATAGTAAAAAAATGTAATATTGTATAAGGTGCATACCTTAAATATATATGTGATAATACGCTACATTTACGCAACCTTTAACATGAATTTCTTAAACATCTGACTATCTAACAAGGGCAAATCGCTGTTAAGTTAATGACTTACATACAGTAATTAGTATTTGTATATTTTTCAATAACCAAATATATTTAAGATAAAATGCAACTGAGATGACCTGTCTTTCTGTTTTGTAAAAAATTGTGCAATTGTATTTGAAAAATATATATATTATTTCAAACATCAAAAATAGCTCTTTAAACAACTTCAGGTTTTTCAAAAAATAATACTAAAAAAGTTATTCAAAAATTAACACTGGTTGTTGTTCTACTCACCTGTAGGTCTTCCTGTGCAAAATAAAGTTTTTTCAAAAGTAGTGCAAAATAAGGTTCTTTAGAAAAAATATCTCTTATGTATCGTGTTTAATCCCCAGAGATGATTCACAGACAGTATATTTACAATGTCCTCGGATGCCCAGGTGTATCTGATACTAGTTTACTTTGTGTCACTATTAAGCTTAGAAGGAAAGAGGGAAGGAGGGAGAGAGTGAGGGAGAAAGCAGAACGTATCAAGGGTAAATAGAAAAAGGGTTATAGGTGTGGTATATTGCCAAGGGAACTTTTTTTTCTTGAGACCTCTCATGAAACACAGACTGTCACAGATATGAACAAGCAAACAATCGGTTCTACCATATTTTGTTGGTTTTGCAGATATGAAGTACAGCAATGACTAAAAAATGTCTGCATGTCACAGAAACCTAAACCAAATAAACATTTTGTATTTGCTGTTCTATTTCAATTTTACTCAAGTCCACAATAGAGAATTAACATAAATTATATTACTGTAATCCATACTTAATATATGATGTGTGTTATTTCTAAAAATAAATAAATAAATAAGTTCAATCAGAATCAAACAATTCTGACCTTCAATTCTTGTCAAAAGATCATGTTTATCTGAATTATGATAATGTGTAACCTAATAATATATCAAGTTAAATACTAATCATTAAAATAAATTATTCTAAAAAATGTGATCAGTGCTGAGTGAGTGTACACCTCCATTATTCTATTTTGACCTATCCTATAAGCATATTGCTCAAAGGATGGCTCATGCTTGTGAATCATGTCATGTCAAAAATCTGTCACTCCCATCTAAGTTTTATTTGTCTTTTTTTTTTGTTTGTTTGTTTATTTAGCTAATGTAAAAATAAAACAAGATCAGAGGCGGAGAAAATTACAGCATTGAAACCCTGTCAAACTCTGGTTAATATCTATACATTGCATGTGTTTGGAATTTAATGTTGTACTGTTATAGCAGCATCATATCAGACACACCTATTATAAGTGCCACACTTCTTCTTCCACAACCCTTCTTATAACATTGCGGAAACGACTTATTGCCTCAGGATTTGAGAAACAAATACGGCAATGTACACACGTATGCTGATATGCAAAATCACAAAAAAAAAACATGAGAAAGGCTTGACAACAACAGATAATTAATACGGTAAGTTATAAAGTAAGAAAATAACTAAAACCATCAATTTCACACGAACCCAAAGATATACATCAACGCATTTAACATGCAAATATGTGCACTTGTGCGTGTACACACATTTACATGTTCACATGCAAAAAAATTGTAGATGATGTGTTAAGTTTCTAGGTACAAAGATGTCTTTGTTGGCTTTTTGTCTCAGCGATTAAAAGCCTTGTGATCTGTAAGATGAAAGTGCAAATTATCTTCCTGAAACTTCTGCCAGAGTTCTGCATGTTTTCCCCAACCCATACAACATTGGGCCTTTCATTAATAAAGTTATTGATCTGGTTGCAACAAGTCAACATAGTGATTTTACAGAGGACGTATGAGGAATCACGGTCTGAGTGATTTAACACAATAATGTACTGATACATTATTGTGTTGAGGGCTGAGCTAAAATTAACTGACAGCATTTAAGTACAAAGTTTCTCTTCCATCCACTTGCTAAATGCCAGGCTCAGGACAAAGGACCCAGCATTTGAGGTGGGAGAAACGGTTACATTTAACAAAACTTTTAGTAAAAACAGAACTGCAGTGGACAGTGTTGTGTCTAAGGCTGGACCCTCTACAGAACCTCTACATCCTCCGAGGAAAGAGGATGTAGAGGCCAGAATTGGTCGTTAGTTAAGACCAATGACACTAATGTCCTCTTTGGGGGAGTGGCAGCCTAGTGGTTAGGGCATTTCACTTGGAATCCTGAGGTTCTGAGTTAAAGCCTCACTTCCACAGACTGCCGGTCTGGATCCATAAGCAAAGACCTTTAACCCCCACACTGCTTACAATTGCAGCCGACTGCTCCACAAGGGGATAGGTTAAATGCAGAAAGTTATTTTGTTGCTCTGTACTTGTGACAGTGTAATGACAATAAAACGCTGGTAGGTCCAGCACTGATCAGAATAACACTTCAACAGTTCAGGCGGTGGCAACCTGGTCTGAAAGCAGGTGACATAGAAGCGGATGCTGTCTGGGAGCAGCCGGACTTCACAACTGCATTAGAATCTCCCGCATGCCTAATTCAAGCTGGGAAATAGATTTTTCTACACCAGAACACCACTGTTTGTTTGCCGATGGATCCATGTTTGGCTCAGAACAAAAGGACCCAGTATTCGAGGTGGAAAGACAGTTACATTTAACAAAATGTTTATTAAAGACAGAACTGCAGTGAACAGGGTCGGTGTCTGAGCTAACTTTACCGGAAGAGAGCACAGGTTAGTGACCATGTCTATCCAGCGGAGGATGACAGTGATCGTGTGAGTCACTAATCTGGTCCTAAGGTTCAGTCCATGTCCAGAGGATGAGGCTGGTTCCACCTGGTAGGCTGGCAATGAGATGCAGCAGGCACCGCCCAGAGATTCCGAGGCGCTGCTGGCTCGGAGGCTGGAGGAGAGACAGGAGATCAGAACCACACAGACAAAGGAAAGCAGGATAATCTGGAGGGCGAAGCCAAAGCCGGTATCGAAGACATACTTGGTAGTTAGTGCCCGAAAATCAGAGGTTCGAAGATGTGAATAAGGGAAATCCAGAATGGAATCAGGGACCAGTTCCAGGTTCACCAAACAGACAAGCAGAAATTCGGCAGGAGTCCAAAGACAGCCAAACAGATCAGAACGGGGACAGGTATGCTCAGAAGTCCAGAGGGAGAATGTTTCAGGCAATTAGAACATCTGGCACTGATGAGGAGTTTAAAGGCTCTTTAATGAGAACTGGGAGGAGATAGGCAGGTGAAGCAGAAGAGTAATCAGACCAGTCATCAGCGCCAAGATCATTACACTAAAAATATAATGCAATAAATGGTTATAGAGTTAAGTACACTGGCATAGATCAAAAGGAAGGGGAGCTTTAGAGATCATGTGCTAATTCATCAACCTCTGTATTGGAAAGCTTGGATTGATGTACACTTCTACACATCTGGAGTTACCGTATGCATCACACTTTAAATAAAATATAAAAAGATTTAATGATCTCACAATGGAGAAATTTACTTTACGTCACTTTTTTATGTGTAGATGTCAAGTTAAACCAGGAAGTTGAAAATGGATGTTTCTTAATGTCTAACCACCTGGATTGCTATTAACAAAAAACATCAAGTGCTCCTGGACCTTTTTGCTTATCAAGCCAAATGGCTCGTTTATGAATACCCTTCTCACCTGGGCTTCACACTATGAATGTACATCGAACGAAGAACTTAAGCTCCAAGGTACAAGGTTTGAAGCTTAAGTAAGGTTTTCACTTACCTGCAGATCTTGTCCTCAGGTCAATAGAAAGTTCTTTATGGGTCACCAATAAACATGCTAGCCATTGTAAGAAATAAACGATAAACTGTCGTGCTGAATCCAGACAACCTATCCTTTGTACGTCATCAGGGATGATGCTTGTCAAATTGAGACTACAGCCTTTCTGGAAATATTTTCCAAAAACAATAGCTACACAAATCGGTAGAATGGCTTAAACTTCTCATTATAAAACCCACAGCATATGAAGATGACAACACTAGCATGTATCACACAGACTACAGATGAAGAAATAAATTTTTTTCAACTCCATGAGGTGGACTGTGCCTATATGTCATGTCATGCAAAGGATTGTGGGCAACAGTGGAGCTTTATTCCTTTGAGGTCCTTATGCTAATCAAATTGGCAATAGGAAGCCCCTATGTTAGTTGTTAGTTGATTTGTCCCAACATGCTTTTGGTTGTGGGTAGCCTTTCAAGTTTGGGCAAGAGCTGGAAACTTAAAGAGCCAGGCAGTTGAAAACCATCTTCAACAGTGCAAACCCAACACAGATTGTACGGTACATGCAGAAGAGGATTATCAAATTGAAAAGCATACTGCAGCAATCATCGCATTAAAAATGGCTGGAGAGTTGTTTGGAGAAAAATAAAAACAGAACAGTATGAACAAACCAAGGTCAAACCTGTTTTCATCAAACAAGCAAACCTTCTAAGTATAATCAGAGAATGAGGAGTTCAAAAAGCTCACATGTGATGCTAGATCTGTTGGTGAAACAAATTATGATGATGGAGCTGGCCTAGTAGCAGTAAAGGAAAGCAATGCGGATGAAGAAGATGAGGTAAAACTTGATGAACAAGAAGAGGCTGATCTGGTAAAAACTATTAATGACTCATTAATGAATTAAAACTGGAGGAAGTCAAACAAATTATAAATTCAATTTCTGGTCCAATAGACTTAGACTCATCTTTATTTATCCCTTGGGATTACTCCTTCAGGGAAATTCTGGTTCCAGTAGCTTATAGTAAAAAGAGTTAAAGCAATATGCCATTAAGTTACTGTACTACTGACCTTACAAGATAAGTAAACAAATTACACAGGCTATACAGTAGTTGGCATGTGTTATTACACAGTGCAAGAGTATTGCACACACGACTGACAACAGGTAATGTTGTGCATAAGATGTCCAAGGAGGGGGTGCCAACCCTTGTCCCTCTTTCTATCACCTCCAACTTCCCCCAAGTGAGGAGTTGTCCTCCAGTAGTACCAACTTAGTCTTTAGTCCATTCTTCCAAAGTCTTTGACCAGCTCCATCATATTGGAGATGTTGAGCCCCAGGTGGGTGGTGTGGCACCAGGTGGCAAAGTCCCCCACCAGACTCCTGTACTCCTCCTCTCTGTTGTCCCTAATACACCCCACAATGGCTGTGTCATCTATAGAGACACATCAGTCAATTATATTAACAGCGTTAATATTGGAGACCGGTCCCAAGGTTCCATTCCCCAATTAGCAATACATGTAACAGCAAAGCTGCTAATGTTTGCCTACTTTAAAAAGGAATGGAGAATTATTGAGGAGGATGTTTACCATCTGACAATGATCCAGCACAGAAAAAAATGGGCAGTGGAAGAAAGGCTTAAAGCTGGGGGATTCTAATTAAAACTGTGAATATTTTCAGGAAAGATTATTATCCTACTTTTGAATATGCTCTACTGAATCAAGTTCTGTTAACAGGCCAGCCTGAGGGTTTGGCAA